AAAAAGATCCAATGTTTAATATTGAGCATCTGTGTAGCTTTATTTCTTTTCCTAGGATGTATTATTTCTCTGTTTTAGGGGGCAGGGAAAAGGTTAAATTTTAAGTTTAAATAATTATATTAGATGATACTGAGGGAATTAATTTTATTAATGAACCTGACAGTGTAACTAATGTTTGTTAATGCCCCATGATTTTAAAAAAAAAAAAGTTTCCTATTGGAACATAAGTTCATACAGTGAGTACATGCCTGTGCAATCTTTGTCTAAAACAAGCATTCTGTGATTTAATTAGGCAACAGTTTAACAACAACTCTAAAACTGAGCACGCACTTAGAAGCTAAAATTACCACATTTCTGCCCAAATCTGAAAGTCTAATGGCAAAATTGATTGGCAAACAACTGGCGTCAGTAGCATATGTCTAAGCTCTCCATGAGGTGTATTATGGACTTCAGTAACATAGTACTGATGAATTTATTGCAGAGGTATATGCTATGTTTCAATATGTACCATAAATAATATGCAGGAAAAAAAGACTATTATTCTCACCTTAGAGTTTTTTTCAGAACTGGTTCCAGAAGGGAACACAATGATCTCATAATTTTTTTTTTTTTGATGTTTAATGCTTATAAGGCCTAGTTGTGCAATATGGGAATGACATCTTGACCCATCTATTGAGCACTTTACCGTCTAAGCATACAGTCTCAGTTTGGTTTTGATGAGACTGTGAAATCTTTACTCACCTATGAATACTTACTGCCATATTCAATCAGTATGGTAAATAAGCACAAGAATGAGGCATCAGGCCTCACAGTCACTAATATTTCATCTATTTTTTTCATTAGAGCAAGCCATTCACAGCTTCATTTGGCTCCATTACCTTGAGTTTTGACAGTTGTCCAAGATCTTTGGCTGCACTGAATATCATCTGGGGCCCCTGTAATCACATTGAAAATTCAGGAAACAGACTCACAACAGTGTGTTTGCTTTTTATGTCAACATGATCTTATTTTCTGCTAGGACATTAGCCAAAGTCACTGTTTTGCAAAGCAAAATGAAAATTTCAATTACACGAGACATACTTTCATTCAGTTGATAAGGCCAAGTAGTTGAATGCCTGCAGCGTGATTCCCCCAGTATCCTATACTTGATACAAATATTGCATATGCTGTTGATATTGATCTTGTGTGCTCCTGTATGCTATCTGATTTTTTTTTTTTTGTATTTCATATTTTTTAAGCTAAGGCTGGGATTGTTCTTACGCAGTGTGTCAATAAGATATTTGTCCATAATCATAGCTCTCAGGTGCTATGCTGATACAAACAATCATAATGGGAAGTGAGCAGCCCTGAGGAACTGCAAAAGCTTAACTATCTACAGCGAAATCCTCAGCAGAGTAACACACACAGCATCATGGCATACTGTTAAGTCAAAGCCTTTTTTTTTTTTTTTTTTTTTAAGAAAAGATACTAAAGTGCTGTGAAGTTAAACCAATATTTTACTATAGTCAAATCCCGGCATGATACCAAGGGCCAATGCCTACATGTCTGTCAGAGAAACAGAATCCTACTAGCATTCTATGCTCACATTTTTTATCACAATTACTCCAAGAAGTATAATTATTCGTGCAGTTACTTGGCAGTTCAGCAAGACATAGTTCTGAATGTCTGGATTTCGGGGCGGGGGGGGGAAGTCCAACTTACATAGCACAATACAGAACAATTTTTGGTTAGCCTTCCTGTTCCAAAAGGTTTCAGTTTCAAGAAATTTGCTTCTGTATGGTTCAATTGCAAAAGTTATAATACAGAACTGCAGCTTAAATTTTTCATTATTTATTAGTAGTGAGAGTGGTAAGATAAATTGACAAAAAATAAACCCTGCTTCTGAATGATGTCTGTGCCTCTCACCCTCAAAAATAAAGTAGTGTTCAAGGCTACAACAGAGAAACATCTCTCTTACAGTATCCTACTTTTCATTGATCTTTAATTGTGTGTTCAACAGAAAACAGAAGTAGCAAAATAAATGCAACTAGCTCTACACCTTTCACCATGCCTGCCAACTGGGACACTTTATATAGAGGCGACCACTGGTAAAAAACCCAACAGCTGGTGAAGTGTAGCATACACAAGTGATACTGCAAGTACTCTGAAAGTCTAATCCAGTAATCTTTGTACCTATTTTTCATGTTCCTTAACCATTCCAGACTATATATTTAAGATACTGTATCTTCTACTATATAAATGTTGAGCAAAATTTGGGAAAAAAAAAAAAAAGCTGCAGAAAATGTCTAGTCAGAGGCTCAAGTGTGCGTGGAAAAACAAGGGTTGTTTCAATTCTACGACAAATAGGGGGAAAGCAGGTGTGAAAACCCCAGATGTCACCATTTAAAAAGTTTTTAAAGATTCCTGAATGATAGGCACAGTCTCTGCCTTTAATCAGTAACTGGCTGATAAACAGAAGCCTTCTTACCTTTGGCCACTAACTAATCTAATGTCCATCCAGAAGATTCTCATTCTGGGGGAGAGGGGAGGAGTGCTGCTTGTCTCTGCTGCTTCACCACCCTTTCTGTGTTCTGCCCAAAATGTGGAAGTTTTGCATTCCCGATATACACCCATCGCTTAATGAAGTACCAACTTGCTGAACTAATGATTGGAATAAGCTTTTGTGAAATGGGCTATAACATCATTGTCACAGCTTATTGCTTGGTGTGATTTCCGAGCATCAGTAAGGACAACAGAGGTGTTTGCAGATTCAGGCAGATGAACTGAAATCTGTGTTCAGGTGGCAGTCAAAGGTTATTTTCACTATGGTTGAAAGACTACCATCTTTTTATTATTTTTTTAAGTAAAGGTCTACATTCAAACTCTTGGGGGAAATGTTTCAACAAATGTTTTACTATCCTAACTAACTGAAACCTATTGTGCTTTTGTCCAAGTGAGCTTACCAATTCTTTGATAGGTAATTCTCTATTCTTGGCAGCCATAACAAAAAAAAAAAGACCACCCCCCCCCCCCCCCCTTAACTCTCAATCATGCTGTTCTATGCTTCTGAGTGTACCAACTGATCCTGCATAAAGCTAATAAACGTTCCTAACTTCTGATGGAAAATGAAGTTATGCAAATTAAATGCTACTTATGTATTTGCAGATAAAATTTGCACTAAAATGTTTGAAGAGCAAATTAAAAAATCTCAGAAATATAGATTTGACACAGTCACTTATTGAAAGAGAGGCTGGTTCTAATTATGTGCAGTAAACACATGCATTACAGTAAATATGAACAAATTTGGAGTCCTGGCTATGAGCCTGTGATTAGCTCTAGTCTAGAATTTTTAATAGCTCAGGTTATTTCATTCCTACCTTAACACCATTTATACATGTTCTGTTAGATTTCCTCTTACCTCTCCAGCAATATTTTTCTATGTATCTTTAATATATTATAATAGGATTCAATTATATGTCTTTAACATATGGATAATGACCAATAGATTTTTAGCAGCTTAACTGGTATCATAGGATGTATACAGTAAAGTTGCCCAAAGGCACACTAGAGTAATGTCATGACTAGCTTGTCCTAAAGATAGTGAATTTATTCTAGACAAAATAGAAAACAAGAAGAATTAACATTTGTGTTATCACGGTCAAAAAAGCAGAGAGCAATTAAAAAAAGACACTCCAAGGCAGGATCTTTTTCTTTCATCTTAGGCAGAATCTGATTTTACAGGTGCCCTCAGCTCTGACACCACTCAAGGTTCACGGCAGGCCATCACCCACACTGGTCTGATGTGTAGCAGCACTATTTTCTGTATTAACTTACAGCTTCTTTCCCTCTCATCAGGCTGTAAATGCAGTCCTGCCCAAAAAGGACCCCCTATCATGTCTGCTATTAAAATACCCCAAAACTTTAGAGTTAACATTGGCTTAAGCTTCCCGATGTGGAGTGCTGCCTCAAGTGAAGAATGGCACAGCAAGCACGCCTGGAGAATGGGATGGAACATTCCTGCCTTTCTGGGAGCAGCAAAAATGGAAGTGATTGAATTCCTGGTGCAACTGGGAAGGGCAAGAAACACTCTTGGTGTTATTGTGCATGATGAAGTCAGGAGAAATCAAACTTAAATGTTCTTATATGAAAGCACACTACAAAGTGGTTTGGCTTCTTTTATGCTGCATTCATAAAAACTGCTCCGAGTTGGGGCAGGCAGTATATGAAAGAGCAAGGTCTTCCTCGCCAACTATAGAAGAGCAACCTAGCTGCACTGCTTGGAAACACTAGAGAGCAACACACTGCATACAGTCAATGTAGTATTCCTTCTGGTCCAGGTACAGAAAAGGACAGTATCAGACCCCTTGGCCAAAACTGGATTAAGCATATTATTACAATCCTTTATAATGTGTATGAACTACTGCTGGGACACTTACAGTTTGGTCTGTCAGTGGTGGAAGCACAATTTGTTTTTCTATTTTGTTCAAGACTAACTTCCATAGCTCTTTTAAAACGCGCTTCAGAACTGTCTTCTCACAGATTTTCGCAGAGACGCTTAAACTGGAAGAAAACAAAACACAAGCCGGTCTCCAAAGCTAGCATTAAGACTTCAGAGGTGCTATATCCCTATATGCTCAGATAATGGCCATTATGGTTTAGCTTTTCTCTACCAATAAGGACTTCTCAATGGCTTAGTTATTTTGCAATATTATCAGTAAATATTTTCAGTTAAAAAAAAGGACAGACTTGCAGATTATAAAATCATGTAAATCTCCACTGTCCAATTTATTGCTTAATATATTACCAATATATATTTATTGAAAATGCAAATGATAATGACTTAGAAAGTTTGATGGATGATAGAATTTAGCACTCCCAAGCCCCTAAATAAAAGTTTTGGTATGTAATTTGTTTATCTCTCAAAAATAAAAAAAAATGGCTCCCTTGTCTTATATTTCTACTGTGATAATAGAAGTAGGTGTTGATAGCTAATGCAAATTCAGGGCTACCATTTGGAAGCATTTATTATATATATTATATCTATACTGGCATATCTGTGCAATCATACTATCTATTACTAATGGTAAAGTTAAATTTTTGGAAGATCTATATACTTAGATTTTTTTTTTCCTTATTTAAGAGTAAATTCATAAATGATCTTGTATGTATCGTCATGCATACAGTGGTGCAGTTTTCAGACACAGGAAAAAATATTTCAAAATAATATCACCAATGCATATGTGGGGAATTTCACAGAATTAAGTCTAATCTACTAATGTAAAAGAAGATTATTGTAAAGTCATTATACATATAACATCATAAATATGCCAATTCATATTTCTAGTATCTCTTACTACTCTTAGTAAGCACATAAATAAAAGCATAATTAATAACTAAAACCCAAACCATATTACTATTACTTGTTTATAATTCTATTATAAATATATATTTGTAAGAAAGTTGATATTCCTTAGCAGTGGTTTTCTTTTTTTTAAATTTCGCATCTTTATTTTCTGTGCATGGGTTTAGCATCTGCTAAAATTCCATTTAACATTCCTGTGGTGAGAAATATTTTCTATTCAGACAGTAGTTTAAAACCATTTTTGTTTCATTATGTCATTATCCAATTAAATCTCAAGAAGCTATGAAGACAACTTTGAGATATGGCAATTTGAAATCGAACCTGACAGGCAAAAGTTGGCCTACCTAGTTTTTTAATCGATGAGCTTACGATAGCACAAAAGTGCTATAAGCACTTTTGGCTTTTCTTCAAGACTTGTGCTAGGAGTAAACATCTTAACTCAAAGAGAATTAAAATTTAAAACCATACTGCTTGTTACCCCTCTTGCAACTTAAAAGATAGGAGTACGTGGATTGCTAAAAATAAAAGGCTGACATATAGATGAAGCAGCTAAAACGACAGTGAGGTACTTAAAGAGGTGCCTGTGCTGCACATGGCCTTTCAGAGCAGCTGATTCCGTCACTGCTGGATGATGAGAAGACAAGACACACTTACTTTCAGGGCCCAGAGGGAGTTTGCAGGGCTATTTCAAAATTTAGCTTTTTATCAACTCAGAAAACCCCAAGCTGCTCTGTAAATCTTTAAATAGTGACCAGGTTTTTGGGGACACAGAATTGCATGTTAATAAGCAGGGGGACACTGGGTGCCTGCCTAGAACAAATGTCAGACAATGTCAGTATGGGGAATTTATTTTTGTTCTGTACAATCTTCTTTATACGGCAGCTCGTGGAGGAGAGACCATACATGAACTCCTTTGTAGTGACTCAAATCGTGACAAGAAACAGGCAAATACGTAGCCTACATAGAAATTGCTTAGTGTAAGTAAACAGGTTAAGCATAGTATTTCTGCATACATGTGAATACTACAAATATTAAAAATAGTACAGAGTGTTTCTAGGTATTAATGATGCTTCAGGGTAAAAACGAGTGTGCCTGACGAGCATTCAGTTCTTAATCCACCACACAACCTGGTCTGCCACACTTACATTTTGTCCAGGAAATCCATGAGAGGCCGAAGCACAATCTCAGCATCAATGGCTGCACTGTTCTTATTGGCTGCTGCATTCCCATTTCCTCTCATTTGATTCAGTTCATTGCTCATTTGTCTTACACAATCTTCAACAATAAATTGGAAACTACAGGATGAAAAAAAAAAAGACTGAAAGAATTCTGGGATAGAAAACATTTATCATTTTGCATCAGGTTCTTCAACAAGATTTAAATCTTTTCTGCAATGATGGAAACTTCACAAACGCAAGATACTGCAGGTATTATAGACTGAAAATAACTATTCCTAAGGATTATAGTTCATCTAACTAATTAATGTACTGTTTTGATTCCCTCCTCCCCCTGTTTCCATTCTGTCATTATGCTTCTCATGCCCTTGTAGAGGTGCCAAGTAATTATTTTCTGAAAGCAATATCAGAATCTGTAGTTTAGGGTATGATTGGCTATCAGCTACAACAGCTTCTCAAGATTTTATTTTTGGTGGAACAGGTGACTATAGATTATTTTTCTCTTTATGGTTAATATGAACCAAGCTTTGATATTATTCTTGAGGAAAAACAGAAAACTTCTACTGATTTTGCCCTGTTTTGCCTAATTTGACGTTTTCCTCAGTTTCACACGGAGTCAGTGCCATCAGAAGCTTTGCTTACTTCTTTGCAACTAGATAGTGCTAAAATATTTGGACTGTTTAAAATATTCTTTCACCAAAACACCCCACTATGAAGTAATTGGACTCCTCCTCCTGGAAGAAATCTTTTTATCTTCAAGGTGAGTGTGAACAAATTCTTGCTTCTCAAGTTGTATCTGTTCAGCTTTTCTGAAAGCTGTTTTTCCTAATCTGTTTGAGCAATGTGTCTGACAGTCTAGTGCTGTCATCGATGTGATACAGTCTTCGGTCAATATATTTAAAGAGTGAGAACAGCAGCTAATCAGTCAACAGTTCAGAGGCAGAACAAGGCTCTGCACACATGGTGATTTGGTTTATAAGGAATTGAATTGGGTTAGGATTAGTTTATAAAGAGAAATGCAAAACAGAGGCCATAAACATACCAGGCCTATTAATGTGAAAAGATAAATGGCAAAGATTAACTTGAGGAAAGTGAAAGAGAATTTACTATGAGAGAAAAGAAACATTATAATTAGGCAAAAAGCTGTTCCAGCTACATGGCTAATCATAAAAAGAGAACACAAATCTCCACGTGAAAACACTGGAAAAATTGGAAACTTTCCCAAGTACACTTGGATATGTGCTTACGTATACACTTCAAAGCCCCAGATAAAACCAACATGAAGCTGCTACTGAAGCTGCTCATGTAAACCCTTGGGACCAGTCTCTCCAATAAAAGCCAAAATAATGCATTGGCCTTTCTTGACGTTAGCCATCTTTCTAACATTGTTAACCTCACAAACCCAGCAATAAACTGACCCATGAGGAATTTTCCAGCTATCTGGAGCATATCCTAGACTGAGCTATTCCTGGGTTTTCTTTTGCAGAAACCTAGTTGGCTCATTCAGTAAGAAGCCCTAGAAAGACAGAATATTCATGCACCATCAGTGATCAGAGAACCAGGGCCTGGGAGCAAAAATAAAGCAAGACAATAAGACAAACTGAGCACACTTGGAAAAAGTGAACACTGTCCACCCAGACGGTTCATCGATGGATTAAATAAGCAACTACAGACTTCGCTTAATGAATACCACTACAGCACTAATCCCTCAGAATCCTTTCTAATTTGAAGGAAAAATAACTTGCAGCTTCTTATAACCTAGGCACCGGTGGCACAGGACCATACTTATTCAAGATTGCAGTGTGCACTCTGATTAATGAAAGATTTTGAGTAAGGCTCAGTAGGCAATTTTTGCAGAGCCACAGGCAAGCAAATGACCCAGGAAGGCCATTTGCAGTGACCATGTGAAGCAGGCTAAACATAGGCAGGCATCGCTGGTTGAAGCAGGTCACTTGGAAAAAGCTGTCAGTCTCAGAAAGTAACACAAACATTGTCAGAAACAAAAGTTTAACCGCATCAGGCAAGAGCAAACCAGCAATTTTGTTTTCCAAAAAGCAGAACAAAAGTCATCAGCCTCACCTCTGTAACATGTTCATGCGCACAGACTATTTTGCATTTTCTTTACGGGGAGGTTACCGCTATATGTTTCAGCATCTAAACACATACACACAAATGCACACCACTTCATCAGGGCAGAAGCAAGCAGTACCTCAGGATTGACATCCAAATGACCACAGAGACTTAGTCAATGAGGTAGATTTTTGAACAGGAATATTTCTCTAAGGTTTGCAGTAAAATAGGTTTCTTACCTCGTAACGTATGTTACGCTGAGTTCATCCAATACATTGCTAAGTTTCACCTGAAGTTCTTTCAGAACAACACTAGCTTCAGGATCCAACTGCAAAGAGAGAAGTAGTGTTGTATTTTACTTATACACTATGTTTTTGGGTTTTCCATTGCAATTAGTGAATTAGGAATTATATGCAATGATACACTGCACTATGGAAAAACAACTGTGGAAACACCTGTTACAACACAGGATTGCTTTAGTAGGCCTAAAAATCCAATTACCATTTAAAGGAAAATACTTGATGACGATAATGAAGAATTATATTGCTAGAAATCAAAACTGTGCCATTAAACAATGGCTTTACATGGGATGGTACAAATCGTGTTGGCAGTCACAAGAATAGAATTACCATTATCAGGCAAATAATATTCACAAGGCATACCGAGAGAAGGATGCATGAGAACTTAGTGTTTGTGTTAAATAATACTGCAGATGTTTTCATCTTTTATTGTTTTTTTGTACATTTCAGCATCATCAATTTTTTTTGTGTGTGATTTGCATGGAAGATGTTTCCATTTTCCCATTAATGCAGTGTAAAAGTAGAACAGCCAGCACTAGAAGAGATGGCCTGAAGACTATCCGTGCTGCTTCTACTGATATAGCACGAGGGAAAGGAATCTATTGAATTTCGGCACTTCTGTTTCTAAAAGCCATTAAGACATACATAATTCAAGCACAGAGCAACACATTCTGATGTACAGGGAGAACTGCTCCTGTACCTCTGAGAAGGGTTTTCTGAACATAGGAAAAAACACAATGAGGGGGAGAAATATAGTTTTACATTTACAGGGATGGGGATCCATGCATAGATATTTAATCAAAATGGTACTCTGTTGCTATTGGTCAGCAGCTTGTTTATTTGCTATGAATTCTTTTTCAAATTAAAAAAGAACAACAACAGACTTTGTCTCCTTGAGATTTTAGGATTTAGGAAAAAGTTACAGTACATTGTGGGATATGATTGATGATCATCAGGATCAACCACTGAATGTGAATTAATAGCTGATGTTCCAGGTCTTTCAGCTATCTACATCACAATGGTAGGGAATGATTTTCAATGATAATCCTCAAATTCTGGGCTCTGCTCTGGAGTAAGGTCAGATACAGGTCTTCTGACAATTTCAAAGGAAATTACACATTCAGAATACATGATCAGGTCTGTGGTTTTGTATATTTCCACCACATGAGTAGTGTTTAGTGCTTATTCTTCATCTGATGCTTCAGAGTACTATGGTGCAGTAGGTCATCTCTTTTAGTCACCCTTTAGAGACAAGTGGAAGCTATGTCACAGCACGTTGGATAATTTACATGAGACTACACAGGAATTCTAAGGCAAAGTGAAAAAAACAACAACTGGGAAACACCCTCAAAGATCTACTGTGTTCTAATCTTAGACCATCCTTTCTCTCCTTAGAAGTTATATGTGGTTTAAAAGCATAGAAAATCCAAGATTTTCATTACATTTTTTGACAAAAATCTGAAATAGGCGACAAGAAGAATTGCCATACATCCCTCTAGAAGATATTCAGTGATGTGTAGCACTTTTCTAATCTAAGCAGCTCGTATTTTAACAGTCTGACTTACTGATTTAGTTTTTAACTACTTTGCATTGAGACAAGTTCCGTTGCTTCTCCACTTCATGTCTTAGTAGTTTCCCTGGAAGATACTCTGACAGTTCATATGCTTAAAGTGATTGTTTTCCTTCATATGAAAAGCAGGGATAAACCCCCTAATTTTACTGAAACATCTATATTACTTAACAAAGGTAGAGTTTACTAACAAAGGCAAAGATTTTTTCCAGGAAATGCATTTCAGTAGGGAATTGTACTGCCTTCTTTGGTGGGATACATACAGAACCCAAATTTAAGACCATTGGAATATTAACATTTAACAAATACCGAACGCACAGGCATTCACACGGAACATGGTACACATAAGAGCACAAAAATATCAGGCAGGCAGAAGGCTCAATATTTCTTACCAGATCATGCACAAGCAAGAGAATCATCTTATTACTGGGACTACAAAGGCCAATGTAGTTACTTTCTATCAGAGGTTGTTGTGATAACCAGAAAAGACAATATATTTGCTAAATTCACCTGGAATCAGACTTAGTTTGGCCAAAAATGTATTAAATACTAATATTAGATTGTGGACATAAGACACATTATAGAAAGGTGCATGCAAGTGCTAGACATTTTAGAGGGTTTTGTGCTCACAAATTGCATGAACAAGTTTATGTGTGCACAGCTGGAGGCATCTGGCAGGACACCCAGCCTTGTCTATACACATGCTCGTGCTCACTAATGCAGAGTCATAGGGAGGAGTGGAATATAAAGAGGTATGCGGGCTCGCCAGGCAGGCGCTAGAAACCTGGTGATGTGACAACTGAGAACATGTTAGCAAGATTTTTAAATGCTATTGTTATTTTTGTTTAGCTGCTGGAAAATGCAGCAATTTGAGTGTCTCATCAGGACTAAGTGTGCACTTTTCATTTATTTGACCATGTCCTCTATGTGCTAGTGAGTTCCCAGGGCAAGTCAGAGGGTCCTCACGCATCAGCCCTTGACTGGCATCATCCAAATGTACCACAGCCATGACCTGCTTTTTTTTCTGATATCGTACAGCTAAGATGGGAACTATTATGATGGTTCTATACTATGAAATTCTGGGGGGACTTCACAACTGGTAAAGATGGTTTTAGGATGGCCTTGTGTGGTGGAGATAAGTCAGCTTTTGGTATGTCTGCACATCATGTGCACTATTGTGGATTATCTTATCTTTTATGCATAAATTAATTCACTGGGTTTTTACTATGAAAAATACATTCAGCTATGATGACTTACTTAAAAACCAAAATATTTGGAAAAAAAAAGATTTCAGTGAAAGTAGGAAGAGTTACTGTCTCCCTCTTAAATATTCTAAAAGGCTGTAGCTCACAACATGCCTACACTGTGCAAAAACATCACAGTTTTGCAACAAGCTCAATAAATAATTTTATTTGTGCTGTAGGAGGATCTGTTATTTCAGCAATGGTTTGAACAACTCCTGCCAACACATTGTATACCAGGTTTGCTTATTCTTAGGGAAGCATTGAGTGGGAAATGCACTATAGCATTGTGCAAGTGGTTTGGCTTAATGAGGTGGACAAGCTGAAAGACTTACATGCAGGTTGACATCACAACACGCTACCTGAGAAAGTCACACATAACTCTCAAAACTGCTGTGTAAGGGAGGTAAGTTTCCCAGTGAGGCAAATCAGTGATGAAGAGATTGATTCATTTATCTAAGGCTTTCCAGTTACCAAGAGAAGTCCTCAGCGTGCTTGACTTGGCTGAGATTACTTACTAGCAAGGAAGTAACAATAAAAAAACCCATCTCTATTTCCTGAGCCAATTCAAGAATCAGAGAAAAGACCATTTATCCCTTTGTTTCTTGGGTTCCATTTACAGTTCACAGCATGTGTGGGCTAGTCTTAACATATTTTGGTATGTTGCTCAGGTGTCAAAACCTGGATTTTTAAAGAGCAAACTTATTTTAGTACTGGAAATGTTATTAACCTGTTACCATGTAAATCATACTTTTCTACCAATTCTTAATTTGCTTGGCTTGCTTAGCTTCATAAATATTTCTGTTATTTTACCATCTTCTTAAATAACAGAGTTAATTTTTACACAGAACAGAACATACTCATAAATTTGCTGGAACGCTTCATAAGATGTGTTAATTATGGAGCATTAAATAGATAATTAGAAGTTTGACTTTTTCTGAATACTAAACAAAAGCAGAGAATACTTTTGCTGAACAGCTGAAAAAATAAGAAGTATTTGAACATCATTGTTTCCAAATGAAATTTTTTATACGCACAAGCATTGGAAGAGTTAAATATCTGATGAATTTGGCTGCTTTCAACATATTGTGTTAGACTGAGATATTCCGTGCTGTAATTTAACGTGTGCTAGTATGGACGTAATCTTGTTAACTGCAAATTTGGTAGTGTTTCTATAGGAAACTACAGAGATGCAAACTACTTTTGCATGAGTTAAAGGGAATCTGTTTAATTGGAATTCCATTTATCTGCAATCTCACAGGTTTAATTGTGTATAGTTTCCTAATGCGACCACCTGGTTACTTCCATTCAGAAAATAGTTTTACATATTCTATGTACATCTAGGGAAGATACAGGTATTTATTAGATCCACCACTGTAGTGGTTCCTTTTGTCTCTGATAGACATCATCCCCTGACTATCTAGGTACAGTCAATCCCATTTTGAGATGTTACGGACACTTCAGAACTATTCTGCTTAAGTCTGGGCTTCTGTCATCCCATCAAAGTCTTTAGGCCTACGTATAGATTCCTATAGGAATTCCTAAGCTTTACATGTGAAGTTGGAACTGAACTTACTGGAGTAGAAATATGATTTACCTATAGCCAATACAACACTGTTGTACATAAACAACCTACTTTTGCTTTCCACCTTTTTTTGGATCCCAATTGCTGTAACTCATTTCTACCATGTTCTGCCATCTGGTGAAAGCAACACAAGCATTAACTTCTTTTCTTTCCCTTTTATCAGCTTCCAACTTGTCAGACATGAAAAAATGATTTAGTGCAAATACATGCACTCCTTTTGGATGAAACAAACAGGAGCTAAACCAGAATTCTGCATTATGATAATATGTTCCCATGATTTTGGACTTGATTTTTAAAAAGGTGGCAGTGGGTTGGATCCCACTTTACCACTCTTTGTTGTGGCAGACTGATCTCATTGATAAAATTTTTTAAGTACCCTTCCTGCTTGACTACAGCAGAAGAGTTAATAAACTCATATTGTTCAGACTATTTTATTTTAATGGCAGGTGAGATGAGTGCCCATTTTTTTCTCTATTTATAGAGCTCCCTGCCCTGCAATGTGCAATAGGTCTACTCTGAACGTAGGGCCTGCTGCTTGGTTGTGATATTTGGCCTGCATAGTTTGAAAGACATACTGTTCAAAATGTGACACTGAAGAGATTATCAGTGTTTAATTTTTCTTAGAATTAATTTTGCTTCAACTGAAACAGGTCTCATTATTCCACTGAAATCATCTAACTTTTTATGCCCTCCACCAGCAAAATATTAAACTATCCCTGCAAGCTAACAGTTACACATTTTATTGCTGGCTTTGTTTCTTATAAGTACCAGTTCAATAAGGCAAAATGGCCATTAGCATTTATGCTCTTGGAATAGCTAGGGGAATAAGTATTCCAGTTTGAGGACAAACATTTTAGGGGCACTTTGATATGGGTGACCAAAAATTGAACATGAATGTACTTTTCTTCAAGAAATTCCCCTACTGAGAAACAAACAAATCTTTGTATTTTTTAGATCTTTTTTCTTAGACTATGAATCAGAGATGCACTTTAAGTACCTAACAAAGAGATTTTAGAAAAATATCTCAGAATTCTCTCCAAGGTTGCATGTTGTACCACATTTGTAGGAAACATTGCTTTGATACTGTAACACCCTTAATAATTCATCCTCATTAACATCAAAAAGGAAAGCAAAAAAGATGAGAAATGATGAGAAAACAGCTATGAAAAACCCTAATTATTTCTTTACTATAGTTTTTTATTATATAAGCTATTGGGAGCAAAAGCAAAACTATATATTTTCTTGAGGAAAATGGAACATTTTGGAGATTCAAGAGAATATTCTGATTTGAAAATACTTTGATAGATACAGGCATAAAGTGCTACTCGGCTTTCCTCTGCCCTTGTCTTCATCAGGATTTATGGACACTTAGCTGTTTTTATGATTCATGACATTCAACATGTAGTAGTGGATCCAAGACCTTATTAAAAAAGTACTTTGCAGAGAATATAAGAGCATGGAAGACAAGATTATTTCTAATATTTGGGGAGTGAAAGGGGATTAATAGTAACCACAAAAAACATAGCCATGTCTGGATGATAACTATATATATTTTTAAAGTTTGATATGAAATTTTTAATGATGACAAGGCTGCAGAAGTTTATTTCATGTTCTCTGGAGCAGGAAGTATTTTTTCCATGGCAGCTTCAAGAAGCTATTAGTAGCTCAACAAAACCTCCTCACCATGGAGTTAATCTGTAGGTTCATTTGGAAGATGCTATTCACTGCATGACACAGGGGACTATCTTACCTCTGTAGTGTCCCACTGCAGATGTGGAAATATGAAACAACCTATTTTCCAATTCTCTCTATAGTGTGGTCACATTAGATCAAAGGTTTATGAAACTATCAAACTACAGTCTCAACAAGAAAAAGCTGATGTATGCATAACTTCTTTTTTAAAGCCAGCTACTGATAATAAAGATCATATATTCACGACCTAAACATTGCTTTTTAACAAGATGACAAGATTCTATAGCTTGAAAAGATGCTAGTTTCTTCATTAGCTTTCAAAACAGTCAAAGTACTGAAGCACATCTTTATGTCCTTTTACTGTTGACAGGACTTCAGGCACTCTCAAGTCTTCTGAAATATAAAAGAAGATAAAGCTAAGCATGTTCTGGACTGTTGAGCAGCAGCTCCGGGTGAAATGATGCCAAATCTTGAATACAAGCAGGCCCTCAGATACCGAAAAGTGCACTTAAATAATGTTTTATAGATTTTTTTTTTTTTTTTTTAAATTCTGAAAGACTTTACACTATCTGCCTGATAAAACTTTTCAATTTAGAGTGTCAACTGAATGCCCAAGCATAGCTCTTTTTGATTTTAGATCATAGGGAATTACACAAATGCATCAATGGAAATTAGTAGGAAATGTGACTGTTTCTAGCCTTAGAAAATACAGTCAGGAATAATAAAAGATGCTTACTATCACAAACCTCATAAGAGAATCTCTCTCCTTCTTTCTTCTGCTCAGTGGATTGCAAGTCAAAGGCATTAGACAAAGACATGACACATTACAGACAAAGCACAAAGCACATATTCTACAAAATTTTCAGATACAGGCAAAACGTACCAATACATAGAAAAGCAAAGTATAGTCCAATACAAACATTAAAATAAAGCTGGCAGTACAGATTACAACACAAAACACCCAGTGTTGGTTGAACTTTACAGATCATTAGCATGTTTCTGTGAAATAGTGTTAGGTCTTTCTGGACATTAAATTGTTCTAGTAGACTTTTTTTTTTTTAAAACATTTTGATTTTCTTTGCAAGCAAAGGTGAAGGCTGTGACTAGGTTGAAATCATGATGCTAATGATCTCTAAGGAACTTTGAATGAACCAGGAGAAAAATATGACTCACCTCCTTTCCTCCCATGGACTCAAACATTTTCTCAAGCTGGACTCTTAATTGTTGAATGTTGTTCATCAAGATACAGGGCTACAAAGAGAGCACCAAACGTGAGAACGTGCATGTTATGCTCCTTTTATGTATGAACTTGTGTATTTGCAGCCTCTGCGCTGAAGACCAGTTCTTCAGCAGCCCTGCATTCACACAACTGTGTTTCTTAGAGGAGGATCTCGGGTTCCCGACAACTGCTGCCTCCCCTTCCCTCCTTAATTCACACTCGTCTTTGCACAGCCAGCAAACCCACTCAGCCAGTGAGTGCCCATGACGCCCTTAAGACAGTGCTGCCCCACAGGAAACTAAGACCTTCTCCCAACCAGCCGGGCAGTTTCCAGATCCCAGTATTTCATGTCCTGAAACTTATATCCCATGCAGTTGCTCGTCATACTTAATACAATTACATCTGGTGGATGAACGCAAGTAGTACAGTATTGTCTCTTTGAGAGGAGACACAAAAATGGTCAAAGGACTTTGGGAGTGAAAATAGACTGGGGGAAAGGGAATGCCAGATTGCTTTCTAGACCCAGTCTTTGCAGAAAATGGTGACAGGCCTGTAACCCAGATAATAGCTGATGCTTAAGTATTTGAATAAATCAACAGGCAGTTCTGTTAATAACAGAATAATATTTCAGAAACGTACATTTTGCATTGCTTGAAAAGTTGGTGTTTAAGCTCATTTCTTTAAGGCAGAATAGAGCGCCACAGTGTAAAAGACAGAAATTGCTGGATAAATACAAGCTAAAAAGTAAGACATGGATAAAATTAAGCAGCTTATTACAAAATTATGGCAGAAGGGATCTATTACTAGAGTTTTGTGTACTCAGATGACATTATATGCTAGTTTGGTATGGTGCGGGTGAAGCAATAAGACAATACTTGCTAAAAGAGTTTTGGTTGGCCAAGGTCAGTGTGTTCTAGTGCATGATTGGATTAATTTAGACACTGAAGTAATGCATTTCAATAAAACACATATACTTTTTTTCAGACAACAAGAAGGTGATGGAATGATTACAGTGATTGATACTTATTTGTACCTTTCTAGTTAATAACATATTCCAATGCAGTGCTGGAACACAGTGGGATTAGACTTTGGTATTCAAAAGATCAATAACATCATTTAGCTTTAATTAGTTCTACATTACTCTCAAACAAGTCTGGTGTCAGAGTTGTCCTCAACTGAAGAAAAAAAAAAAAAAGAAATTTGATCTAACTTCTTAATCCTTACATTACTGCTTCCCAGTAAAGTTTCTACTTGGCCTCCTGCAAAAGACAGCTGGCTTTGTATAATAGTTGAAATATCACCTCTCTTCCTGTCTCTTGAAAAATCCACAAACCCCACTTCTTCTATTTGTTTATGTACCTTCTATTAATTTCTGATCACTAAGACTGTGTCATCCTCTCCTGTGCTATCTTCTCTCTTCTGACATATCGATTATTCTGGAAATATTCTGCAATATCACAAATCAATGATTACAATTTCTGATAGGGGAATAAGTAGCTGAATATAATGTCTTGGTTCTTTTATTCAAAACAAAGTGCAAATGCCTTTGGCAATATAGTGAAACTACGAGATAAATACTTCCTACTGAGGCAGTTGTCAATGTTTCCTTTGAGGCTAGCTAAGGTTGCTCTTTTAGAGCCCAAGCCTACCTTGGCTGAATGGAAAAATTTCTAGTGCTGCCAGTAAATAACAGATCCAGAGCTTAAAAATGTTCTCGTCTTATTATTTCATTATCATCTTGTCCTTCAGAATACAGTTTGCAGCAATTTACAGGAATCAGACAGCCAGATGCAACAACAGATGAAAGTGAGTGGCAAGTACAATACATAAACCCAGGTTTGTTTGTAAACTCTGACAGGAGGTGGAAGATAAGAGGATGTTTTTACATTAGATACATGCCTTCATGAAAAGTACCTTTGGAATGCTTTTATTTGAACAGTTGATGTGCACATTTTATAGTGTTTAATAAAAATAGTAGAAGTATCAACTTGAAAACGAATGCAAAAATTTGAGTTTAATCATAAAAAAATATTTGTTTTAATCTCTTCTATCAACTCTAATGCAGGAGATAGACTTTTAATTGAGATCACCAGATCAAATGGTCTTTTATTAAGCTAAAAGTATGTATTTCAAAAAAGTAGCTTCAGTTAAAAGTAAAGTTACGTCCCCCCAAAGATATTTGGTATAATACTTTTATATCATAATGAAATTAATTCCATCTAAAGCTTTAATAAAGATTGGTATACCAGGGCGGCTTCAGAAATCAATCACTCCAACAATTAAAAAAAATCCTATCGGACAGGCCAAAAGACCATACAAACAGTTTGACTAGATGACAACACTATGTATTACAACTCATTTCTTCTAGAAAGCAGTAAGCTTTATTCAATATTAGCATTAAATTGAAAGACATGGGAAAAAAAAGAAGCTACAAAGTTAAGGGGCTTTTTACACTAAATTTTGAGAATAGTTATGGCTCATATTGGGTCAAATACAGAGATTATTTTAGCTGCAGCTTGGTTTCGACTGATTAGCATTAAAGTAGAAAACATGTAATGCATTCACTCCTCTGTACTGGGGAGAGAGAATGTTGTATTCTTTTCAGCTCTGTATTTGCCCTGGAGGGGAGAGAGGTAAGGAATGTATAGAAGATGTATCTGTAAAGTTAAAAATTGCATGAAAATTTACATCCTGCTAGATTATGGGGAAAAACCCTGGCATTATGGTGTGCTGGTCTATGATATATCAACTGGTATCCAGTGATAAGATGCGTGGGAATGGTTCAGTGCTGCATCAGGGGAGGTTCAGGCTTGACATTAGGAAACATTTATTTACCAAGAGGGTGGTGAAACTCTGGAGCAGCCTTGCTAGAGAGGTGCTCAATGCCCCAAACCTGTGAGCGTTTAAGAGATATTTGGACAATGACCTTAACACCTTGCTTTAACTTTTGTTCTGCCCTGAATTGGTCAGGCAGTTGGACTAGATGATCATTGTAGGTGTCTTCCAACTGAAACAGTATTTTCTATGCTATTCTGTCCTATCCCTGGCTTGTTTCCTAGTGTTTCTACAGCCAAAAGACTGATTCTCCTTACACAATGATTGCCAAACTTTGTCTGGTGCTTTTACTGTTTTCAGATGCTAAAAAGATTTAGTACTGCCAGAATAAAGATGTGTGGTTATCTACTAAAGTGAGTCTTTTCAATGTGTTTACTGCAAAGGGCTTCAAGGTTGAAAATATCTGAAGTGGGAAGTTAAATCTTAGACATGACACATCTATATAAATAAAGGTCACTTCTCTGTAAAAACTTGTGTATAAAACTTCTATTTAAAACACAGTTTTGAGTTTGATATTTTTATTTATCAATTCTATTTTAGACAAAATTGTGTAAAAGGAACAGAATGGTATGTCTCTCCTAGCAAATATATCTATGGCCTGAAAAATTAATAAGCTTAGTCTTTTGGAATATTGCTCAAAAAGAACCACCAATAATTGATATTTAGCTGCAATAGATGTCTTTATGAATTCTATTATTGTGTATACGTTGGTGACCTCTAGATTATGACACTGTCTCACCCTACAGAGAGCACTGGCAATGATGAGCACGTCCTCAAGCCACACACAGGGACATGACAAACCTGGCTGAGATCTGTGTATGAGCTGTGTGAGGGCTGTACCTTTATAGGTGAATAATATGAGGATGGTGCTGCAGTTACTTATCTAATTGTAGTCTGATACATCTATCCAACGTACTAGTAAATATAGCAGGCATAATGCTAAATGTTCCCTGCCCCAGGAGCACTAGCTTTGATTGAATATCAACGATACTGGAAAGTCAGTTTACAAGAACAATTTTCCTTGGTCATATTAAGCTATTGATAATGTCTTGATTTGCTTAACCACATCATTAGTGTCCTTATCTCATTTATTTCTGTGTCCATGGCAATCTGGTCCTTCATTAGGGAGTCCCTTAGAAGCAGTGAGGCAACAAAATAGCACATGATTTTCTTCTCACTGCTGCATGGATAGAGCACAGAGAGTGACTGGTAGCAGCAGAAACGTCTGCACACACTCCCTGCACACAATGATCTTATAAACTCTCTAATGAATAAATTGATAAAGGGAAGCAAGCCAATGCAAAATGAAAACTCAAGCAAAGATTTCTTCTGTTTGGAAGAAATGATGAAGATATATTCATCATATTCATCATTGTATAAGGCTGTTACCCAGGGAGTGTTTCTGGCCATCTTGTAATTTTTTTCTACTCTAATACTGAAATTATTAACTAGGACTGTTAACTAATTCCACCTATTCCAGCTTTTTACACATCAATGTAAGCAGCCATGAAAACATGCTGACCTTATTAAAAAATAAAGCAAAAGAAAAATCCCTTCCTCTGTTCATGCTTTTTCTCAGATACAATAATGATTACATTTTTCAAGAAATAGAGCAAGTAATTTAAAGGTAATTTCTGAGGCAGAAACAAAACACAGCTTTTTACTCACCACATTTTCTTTATCACAATATGAGCTGAAGTAATTTGAAATAATTACAGCATACTGAAGCAGCACTTTGTTGATAGTCTAGGAGAGGAGAAGAATCTTTTAAATGGTAAATTTCATCATATAAACAAAAAATAATTAAAAAACACAAAAAAGGAGATATATATAAAAATTATAGATTTTTACAGGTGCTTACACATATAGTATATATATTATTTTTTTAGATATAATGTAAACAACCCTGTGTGCACATTTTCAAATCCCTGCACAACAGATGGTAGGTTGTTCTTAATGGAATGTAATCTTCAATAGCAGAGAAACTTTAATTTTAGTTGTACTAGTTTTGAGAAGCATTGAGCTCTCTACTCCTTGCAATGTGCTACATAATGGAACGGTAGCAAGGTTACAAAATCCTCTAGGGTGACAATGCATAGATTAAAAATATAATGGAAAAATAAGACCAAGGGAGCACTCTTCAAAGCCTGGCCATATGAGCTTACCTTGCAATAATCATGTAAATAGGAACTTTGTTTGCAAATGGAAAACTGTTGCAATGGAAGCACAGGAATAAATGTAAACTTTTTAAAAGCCATCAAGACTATAATGGAAATCCAAAGCTTGTGAAGAAATGTTACAATCCAAAGAGAAAGTTGGCCTCACAAAGTTGAGTTTATCAAACGTCAGGTGAATAAGAACTACCACCTCAAGGCTTCAACCAGCAATACTTTACTGCTATAACTTGAATTTTTCCTTTCCCTTGCACTGACTAATTAGATAATTGCATTTCACAGAATTGTAATCAATACTTAGCAAGAATAATAACTGATTGTATAACACATGTAAATATGAAATCTCAGAGAGGATAGAACTTCTCAAACTGGTAAGCGATTTTGACAAAACAGATGAAAAACAGTCTTAAGCCACAGACAGCATGTCTTCCTAAGGATCCCAGTCAGAGACAGAAGAGATTGATTCTAAACAACTTTGGAATTACTTAGCTTTTAAGTACATGGCAACACAATGTCACTCCCTCTCAAGATTAGTTGAGATGCATTGATTTTAATTTACCTTTGCAAATCTTCTCATTAAATGAGATAGTGCTTCTGGATTAGGACACTCCAGTTTCCTAATAATCTCAAAGCTTTGATTGAGCTGTGTGAAGACATCGACCACAGAACAAGAGAAGAGTGCATGATCTGATGTTTGCTGAAACTAGAAAGAAACATTCAAATGAGTTAATACTTGTTCAGAGATAAAAACTGTATTAACTGATTTTCATACACTTGAAATTCTTCCTAGAGTCATAAAAAGTAATAAATAAAAAATAAATTTTAAAAAAGTCTCACTGATAATGTAGCTTTTCACATTTCTATTACTTTCAAACCTCTTAAAAATGAAAACAAAATTCTCTTTCATGACATTGGTCTTACATCAGAGTTTAGTGAAACCATAGATTGAAGTCTATAGGGAATTTAGGCAGATGGAATTAGAGCAGGAATTTGTCCATAGGGTTACCTTCCAAGAACCATTACTGGCTGTGTATCTTGTGAGGTCTAACAAGGATACCGTGGGACCAAAGGTACTTCTGGTTTTGCAACACTAAATAACCATCTTAATACTTCACTCTTTTCTTTAAAAACTAAAGGCTCACCCCATCTTTTTTGTCTCTTTCTAGAGCTCCGTGAAGAAATTCCATTGAGACATCCTCATTTTCATCCAGCCACTGAATGACAAATGGTTCAAACCACCTGAAAATTAAAAACAATTTTGTAAAGTAAGTACATTTCATAAAGATCCTGAGACATGCCATATCATCCAGCAGTTTGGCAACTTGTGTCTTCACACCTGTTCTAGTTGCTGAAAAGTCTATTGTCCTAGAAAAATTTTTGCCACCAAAGGCACTGTGGCTACCGAAATGTCTTTCAGGCTTCAGTTTCACAATATTCTAACTGGTCTATCCCAGTGATGTAAAATTAGCACTAGGTATGAGAGAAATGTCTCCATGTTTTGCAGAGATCGTATTCTCTGCATTTTTTTTTTTTTTAGAATGTGTCTATTATCAGTATTGGTTTTCTGTTAACATTTATTTTTTATTTGTATGTGAAATAACTCGGAGAAAACTTTGCTTTACTAAAACATAATTTTTCTTTAGCCTATGTAAAAAAAATAAAATAAAACAATAACAGGCCCCAAACCATCTCAGCAAATCAGCAGACTTGCAGAAGATTAAGAAATGAGATTAAGGATAGCTCATCTAAAAAGACAGGATTGAATCTATCAGTTCAGGAGGAAAGGCAAAAATGAAAACAGCAGCTAGGTATTAACCCAGTGCAGTAAGAATCATTTCAGTAGCATATCCCATTAGCATTGTATCTTTATCCAAATTTGAGTATGAAACAAATGCAGGGGCTTATAACAAATAGGCTGTTCCTACATTTCATACCTTCCTCAGGCAGTTCTGACCAAAATATTTTGTCATCAATGAAAAGCTGCAGTTACAACAGATGGATAGAGTCCTATGATTTAGCTAATAGCATTTTCAATACCTAGAATATTTCATTTTATAGAATGAAGAATTAAAGAGGAGAAAGTACAAAAAGTAAAGAGTTGTCAGTGCTGTGCACCTTGAGGTCTTGCACAAACTTAAGCATAAATATTTGACCAAAATAAACCTTGCACCAAGCCCAAACTCATGGGAGACTTCCTTATACGCTACTTACAGAGAGTATTCAGGCACAGCATCCTTGAAAGCTGAGAGTTCTCGCACATATTCATTATAAAACCATTTCACTTTGAAGTGTAAATTCATATAATCTGTGCTTTTGCATAACCACTGCTTTTCATGTTCTGTAATAGAATGAGTTCAAATGAAAGCATTTAATAGCATTCTAACCATAAATAACATTCTTGTGCCTCAATGCACTAGTGACATAATAATACAGTACTTGCATTTTAAAGCACAATTGGTTTGATTATTTTAGAGGTAGTAGTACACACAGTATCAATCTTCAGGTTCTGACTCCCCTTAGGAAAAACAAACCAAAACAAAGACCAGACCACAAGTTAGGCTTTTCAACTCTCTTCACTGCAGTGAGGAAAACCCACAAACTTGCTGACTTCCTGTTCTTTAAATGCTTCTTTGGTTGTTACAAAATCGTTAAGAAACTGTGTCAAGTTAGAAAAGATGACTATAGCTGTGTGGTAGCCAAATGAAGTAACAACTATAAATGCCAGTCCTATATGAATCTGTGAAACATGCATTAGTAAATGGGCTGCATTTACCACATATAGGTAAGAAAAGGAAAGAGGAGACAACTGCACAGCTCTGCAGATATCTGCTTTATACATAGCACAAGGAAAAAAGCTGGTTTAATGAAGTGTTTTTGAGGTTTTTCAAATGGGCTTCTCCACCTTCTCAGTGTCCTCCTGTTTTCAACATAATGGATATGCAGATGATCACGAACGGCAGGAGTCATGGAGCCACCTATAACCACTTTCTGCATTTTACAAGTCTGATTTAATTGCTTTGGCACAAATTTCCATCTTTCTTCCAGGTTTATGATCCCTGTTTTAACTTATCCAGCCACTTCAGCCCCTGGACAGCTCCAGTCCCTCACTCCATTACCCAACGCACTGTGTCCTTGCTCAAGTCTTTCGTTCCCTTTCCCACGGCAGCAAACGATGGATCCACAAATCTTGGGCAGTTATCCTTCCTTCACTTACTGCTCACAGATTCCTAAAATCTCCACAGATCTCATCTGTGTGAGGTGTCATGTCACTTGCACATTCGCCTTAAGCAAAAGATTAATCTCTTTTCCCAGCTCCCTTAAGAAGTGACCTAATACAGATGCTCGGCAGGAATGACGTTCCTGTGACGTATTAAGAACTCACCTCTTTCAAACCTCCTTTTTGCTCCTTACTTCTGCTTGCATTGTAACATAGTATTACACAAATTTTTCACGTATATTTGGATGTGAACCTGTTTTTATCTAACAGTGGGGGGATCCCATCCTCTGTCATACACACACCTGAATATACCACTCAGTTCTCTGTCAGTGCAAATGGACTGTGAAAAACACAGTCGGTGTTTTTCAGATCTCACCAGGTACCTTAAGAGGAAATTTTTAGTTTATTATTATGTCACATCAGAACTCAAGTAATATCACTGTGCCATACAAGAAATAAGTGTTTCAGAAGCATATTATTATGCAATGAATTACTAAATGTTGTGGGAATCAGCTTATGAAGGGCACCTGTGGGCTTTTACTGCCCTTTTAGCATTGTGTTAGCATTTTCACCTTTATTGCCTTTTCATCACACTCCAGGAAAATCAGTAAAGCACTTTCTGTCTAAATATTGTATTTGTTCATGCCCAATTGCTACTTGAGAGCACTACAAATTCTCCCTAGCATAACATCATTGGCTACTAGTCCTAAACAGAACCACACAGAGAAAGATGTATAGCTACTCTAGTGGTTCTTACTTTCTACAGACCTGAGGAATCTTATTCTTTTTATTCTGGTAGGAGTTTTTCCACAATCTATTATTGTAGACAGCTAGATGACCAAACATTTGCTCAATAAAAGGTAATTCTTACAAGTAAGACCAGTCTTTGACGGAGAACAATTATCTTATTGCTATCAAATTCACTGCACATCTACTGCTTAAGTCATTAAGAAAAATCTGTCTTATGTTGCATCCCAATAGAGTGGAATTTCTGAAATGAATAGCATTTTTTCATTCAAGGGTTGCACGAATGGGTTATTAGATTATACAATGCAACTTAAGAACGTTTGCTATAGTATCACAAACCATGCTAATGCTTATTTCGATTTTAGAAATGAGCTGCTGCCAATAATGGGCAAACTGGTCTAGGAAGGTACATCCTACGCAATATCATTCATCAATATTTTTTTTTTAAGTTACTATCTAAATTTTAACACGTTAGAAATGAGCACAAAAGTAATTCATGAATAATTGAGGTTTTTTTTCTCCAGGCTATTATACCTTGGAAAGAATATTTAAAAAGAGCCTCCTAGGATTTTACTTGTAGCTACATACAAGTGAAAAATGCATCCTCAATTCCTAGTATTAACCTATGAGGACATCAGAAAATACTTCATATGATCTACAAAGTCATTTTGTATCCATGCATATTACCTCTTCAGTTTATATAAACCAAAGAACAGCGAAAACAGGTGCCCATATGAGTCAGCCCATGAGCATTATAACTGGATGATATTAGATGGGTTATCTACAATAACCGTGGATTTCGGTTAGAAAGCATAGGAACATCACGACAGGCATTCTGACTTTAGATTAGGACCCACAAATTGCTTTCTTAATTTCTCAAAAAGCATGCACAAATTAATGCAAATGTGGGACAACACGGGATATATGTATGCAGTTTGGAGATCTGTGTCTTTTTTCATGGAAGTTTCCTTCCTGGCTCCATGTTCTCTTATACAGATATATCCATTTAGAACTTCCTGGAAGACAGATGTACTAGCTGCATGAAACAACTCGTTCTAAAAAAGTCCACTCTTGCTTTGCAAAATTATTATAATACTGATTTGGTCTTGAACTAAACTTACCAGTTGTATGCTGTGCAAATACGCTCAGCAGAGATTATGATAGAAATATTAGACCTTTCTCATAACTGATTCTAGATAAACAGAATCTCCAGTATAGTAAACCCAATATTATTAATCTTTTGTGTTGCTACTTTTATGAAACGTTCCTTGTAGTGCAGTGTGTTTTTATAAGCACCTATTAAGTTTCATAACAAGAACATTTGCAGTTTCCATTAGTGACAATGGCACATTATTCTATATTTCTGTATCATGAATCAATGAAAAAATACTGACAAGATTTCTGTAAACTGTAATCTGTGCATACAGGGCACTTTAGCTGCTTTTATCTATCACAGTGCCAGTAAGAGTATCTTTTTCACACTATTGATTACACTGTGGGGTGTTTTTAGTATCTCCTTAGGGGTAATGCTTTAATGCACATATGCTTTCCACAAATTTGCAGCACTGGACGTTGTAACTACAACAAAAAATGTATAGAGAGTCATTCCATCTCAGCTGTACAAATTGCAATTACAGTAACACCTTTAACAAAACTTCCAGTAAGCAACACCACTGAGAAAAAAAAAATAAAAATCTTTTGTTCAGCACAAGAGATATTTTTTTAAAAAGACTATTATATAGAATGCCTTAACATATGCAAATGTGTTTGGTGTGTGATGACACTATCTAGCAAATAATCTAATTCCAGACAATTGTTCTTTTACAGAAAAATGTATAAGGAGACATTGTAGGAAGGACCATGATCCAAGGTACTTTCTTCACAGGCCTGTGACCCAACAGCAATACTTTGGAATCACATTTGATTTCTTGCTCATTTTCCCAGCAATTGCTAAAGAATGCTGTAGAAGATTTTCCTAAGGCAGCAAACAAAAAGAAACTGCAATAAAACTATTATGTTTTGGTCTGAAATTTGTAGTGTCATAGTATTTTGTCAATAGAGTCATAAAGATGACTTATTAAGCAGAAACATCTACATGACACTAAAGACATAATGACATTTACCAGACTGGAATAGAATCCCGTTCACTATAGAATCCTTTTTCCCTTTTAACCTTGAGGTAATAACATCACTCTGAGTATACATGTAATTTTGCATATGTATTAGTTGCTAAAAAAGGAAAAGGGGTAATCTAACGCCCTTAATAAAAGATGAACATTTTCAATATTCAGGTAATAACTGCAGTTGCCCTACAGTACAGGAGCTGGTCGCTACGCCATTGCCTCTTCTAATGTGGGTGTTACGCTTATAGTGCTCTAGACTTAATTCCTGTACCGCTGAAACGAACTGGAAGACTCTTATTGAATTTAACATATTGGATTGGGCCACAAATGAACAAAAATGTAAACTCAAAGTTCATAACCAATTTAGAAGGAAACATTACATTCTACTAGACCTCTCATCCTAGGGTTTTTATATCTTGCTTAAGGCAATGGAAGTCACATTATTAAACTGAAATACAGACCAGGACACAACTAATTGATAATTATGTATAATTTACATTGATTTTGATAGTGCGAAATACTACTGACCTTTCTGAAAGGGCTCTTTGTGTCAAGATAAATATAATAAACTAGAAACTGAAAAACTTCTGTCATTACCTCCTTTTTTGGATTGTACTTACAACTTATTTACAACTAAAACCCCCTCTAATTCTCCTTTTAAAAATAGATTGTGTCTTTCATAAAAGATTTCTACATATTCAATCTTTTCTCTGCATTTGCTTGGAAATTTACATCAAAACATCTTCGAACACTTCACAAACATGATGGATTACACCTTGAACACCTCTATGAGGTGATTAAGCTGTGCTATTCACATTTTACAAATGGGAATCTGAGATATAGGGAGATCAAGTGAATTTACTAAGGGAACACACATAAATTATGAACGGCAGAGCAGATCTTGTTCAAAGATTTCTTAACCAGAGAGTCATTTTTCCTCACTGAACAGGGATCAGGGAAGGAAGGCAGACTGTCTCATTCTGAACTGTGAGAAAAAAATGGATTCACTGTTCTTTTTTGTCTTCTTGCCTGCAGTGGAGGCAGGCTAATCAGTCCTTGGCTTAATACAGTGCACTTTAAAAGCTGATATGACATTGCCCTTTATATTCAAGGAGGAGCTCTCAAAGCGAGAGGCCATTTGCTCAGAGTGCTCTGCTTTGCTTCATGTTTCACAGCAGGTACAAGTGAGTTCAGGGCCACCTGCTCAGCATCTGAAAAGGCAGAGCTGTACATTACTTTCTGGGAGAGGTA